AGACGAATAATCTCACTGGACGCTGCAAATAGTGCCTTGATGCGCAGATGGGCACAGGTCCGTTTGGACAGCAAAATTTGTGATCAATTTGAGTACACTGATTGTGCTACTAAAGACTTCGGCTGATTGAAGTTGAGAATAGCAGATTCTGGCCGGCGGGCAGACTCGCGACAACGGTTTCCAGCTTTCACCACCGGAGATACACAACTCCGTCTCCCTATCCTTACGACTTGGCAGTCCCGCATCGCTGAACGCAAATGCAAATCTCGTAAAAACTCCACAGCGGCGCGCCGAGTCGCCGACTTTTGTCAGCCGGAGTCCGTAGTCCGACCGACTTTCTGCATTTACGATCGGTGATCGGCACTCGCCAGCTGGACTGCATGCTGCATTCACGACCTTCATCAGGCAGGCTGCATATTGCATCCATTCTTACGAGCTAAAATTTAGGAAGATGCAGCATCCCACCGGCACGGAGCCAATCACTTTGTCAACGGCCACCAAAACCGTCCAGGCCGCCGTCTTGGGTCACCTCCGTCCCGTTTCCACTTAGCTGCCAAGGGCCAGCCCGGAATCTGGTATCCACTGCAAACGCACAATGGGTACTGGTCCAGAAATTTACGTTGTCTCTCAACAGTTCCATCCGATATGGTGTAGTGGCCAACATGATGCCCTCTCATTAACTTGCGAGGTTAGGCATAGCCCCGAGTTCGATTCTCGGTTTCGGAACAATCGCGTATTCTTTTTCCCTTTTGACATTTGGTTTCTGCTCTCGTACAGCAGATTACTGCCTGCGGATACACTTGATAATTGCTATGTACTCTAAGAGCTACAGAGGTTTCTCTACAGTGGTTAATAATGCGGGCCCTATAGGCTGTAACATTCTATGCGGAAGCAAAAATGAAAAGTTGGGAGGAGGAAAGGACTCGTGGTGCCCTCTCTTTTGCTATTTTCTTCTTCGCCGTTAATATGTCTGTCGCACCTTCTTCACCTACATTGATTAGCCGCTTACAAAGCGCCATAGAAATAAACCAAGCGCACGATTTCTCACGTGAATTTGCTACATATTTTGCGTGTTGGAGGCGTCGCCACACAGTAATAAGCTTAAGCCGATCGGTACCGACGTTGGAGCTGCCAATCCTGCCGCCAAGCTGTCGATTGTGGTCAGAAAAGCTTGGTTCGTACTGAAGAAACAGGGGTTCATCTGATGGTGGACTGCACTCCGATCCTTCTGTCTTCACCACTTATCCGAATAGGTATGTTTGGCCGACGGATGTCGCCAGAGTTTGAGGGTTTCCAATATTCGGTCGAACGATCGCCGACAATCCCCGCGACTTGTTCGTATTCTTCTCTGTCCACTGTTGCCAGGCGCTGCTGGTAGAAGAAGTCTCTACCGCCGAGGTCCCATCATTTGGGCCTCCCACGAACCTGTTAACTGCAACGCTACGTACGTACTGCATTGCAGCTGGTCTGATAGGTGGACCGTGAAGTGGAATTGGGATCGCCAAATGCCCGACTTCGAGGACACGATCCACCCCCGTCTGACCGTGTAGTGGGCAGACAAGCTCCGGCTTCGCATCTTGAGGAAGCGGAGGATGCCGTCAAGCACCACCGCACCATGCGAAAAGCAAGAGTTCCGCGGACATTTTTCAGTTGTTGAAACATGTGCGTTCTACAGCGCGCTTCTTGAATAAATCATCGCAACCCCTCACGAGCTTCCGGATGATGATGCCGTCTTCTCGCACTCGCCCCTCGGTCACAGGCCGACCAGCATGCACCCACATCCCGTCCTAACTCCCCGCACCCCAAACGCCATGGTCAGCACCAAAAAAGTGCGAACAACGAGGAAGGAAGAAAACTCTTCAGAACCAGGACATCCCACTTTGGCGGGGAACTTCAAGTACCGGTGGGCGGACCGGACCGTTAAAGACGTCTTCAAGAGGCGCATTGTCGCCGGCGGCGCTGCACTACGCCGCGTCCGGAGGGGCTGGCGCGCTTCTGACCACCCCTTTCATCAGGATGAATCCGGGAACTGGCACATGCCGTTACTCATCTCCCACGCCCCCCCCTGGATCACTCCGTCCAATCCGAGGTCGCTGATCTCAAGAATCATCTTATCTGATCATCTAATCCCATCTAATCTGATCCCTCGAGACCCCACCGTTCTGTTCATAGCGTCTTACACACGCCCCAAGATCCCAGCTAGCATGACGCTCGCCGGAGGGACTTTGATCGCATCCATGTCCCGCTTGTCACTCACACGGCTTAAACCGCGTTCTTCATTGGAAAAACTTTACATACCACCCTGTCTGGCTGGAGGGCTAAAAATTGAGAGGTATTTTTTTTTTTCACGCCCACGCTTCACGCCCACGCTTCACGCCCACGCTTCACGCCCACGCTTCACGCCGATTGCGACATTACGTAGCAAGCTTTTGGTTTTGGGAAGGTGTGTAGATCGATCCAGTGTCTCTGCTTACCCTAATACCCCGCCATGCTTTTCTGGCACCATGTCGTTTTCTTCTGCTCGAGGGCGGAAATTTTCCATTTTCTGCTCCTTTCCTTTGTCGTAGCTCAGTACGGTCGGACTGCGTAGGCAACTGAATCACCATGTTTGGCGTGTCGAACTGGCTCATCGCGGCCACTGTGGCTCTGGCCACGGCCGTCTACTGGATCTTCAAGGCCTGCTACATGCGCCTTAGGTTCCGAGGTCTCGTAAGTACTCTGTCACTGGCTCTGGTATTTTGGCATCGTCAGACTCTAACTCACATTCCCCGTCAAGCCTCAACCGCCAAAGCACTCATGGATCTGGGCGCATACTCCCATCTGGGAGGAGGTAGCTGGAAAGTGAGTACACTCACCTCTGTCGCGCATTGCAATTGCTAAGAAATGGCAGGCTGCCTCTGTTCACACATCCTCAACATGTTTACACCTACATGGCGCAAAAGTACAACCTGGGCGGCATCTTCTACATCGACATGTGGCCCTTCTTCGACTCGCAAGTCGTCATCACCGATCCCGACGCCGCGCAGCTCGTCCTGACGACCACCCCGTACCCCAAGCACCCGTCAATTGAGAAGTTCCTTCGCCCCTTCACCGGCGTCGACAGTATCGCCGCCTCCAATGGCGAGAGGTGGAAGTACAACCACCGCATGGTCGGCTCCGGCTTTACCCCGACCTACGTGAAGCCGATGGCCGGCATGATCGCCGAGCAGGTCCTGATCTTCCACGAGCGCCTTCGCGCATTCGCCGAGAAGGACGAGTCCTTCAACATGGAAGAGGAAGCCGCCAAGACCATTTTCGACGTCATTGGAAAGGTCGTTTTCGGTTTCTCTTTGGAGGCGCAACGAACCGGATCTCCACTTTTGGAGGATCTCCGAGCATCCATCAACCCCGCCACGACCTTCATCAGCACCAAGAACCCGTGGAAGAAGCGCAAGGCCGAGCAGGGTCTGCAGAAGCTCAAGGACCGCGTCAGGAAGGTTCTCGCGGATGAGATGCATGAGCGCCTCAGAATCTTGCAAGACGAGAAGGAATTGCCCAGCAGACGACAGGTCAAGTCCGTCCTGGACCGCATCGTGCTCGACAGAATTCAGAGCGGCCCCGGTGCTACTCTTGACGACCCCTTCATCGATACCGCTGTTACCAAGTATGTTTCCTCTCATTGATATCTATGATCACATGCAATTTGCAGTACAGGCATGGAAACTAACGCCACGCAGCCTCAAGGCCCTCCTCCTCGGCGGTCACGGCACCACAACCGACACTTTCACCTGGGTTACCATGTTCCTCTCCATCTACCCAGACGTCGTCGAACGCCTTCGCAATGAGCACAACGAGCACTTTGACCCCGACTTGGACAAGACCGTCGAGATGCTCGTCGCCAACCCGACCAAGACCAACGATATGGAGTTCACCAACGCTGTCATCAAGGAAACCCTCCGTTTCTTCCCTATTGGCTTCACCATCCGCCAAGCACCCAAGGGCGTCACCCACCTCGACTGGAACGGCCGCCGCTGGCCCGTCAAGAATCTCATGGTCATCCCCTGCGCCCACTCTACGCACATGGACCCCAAAGTGTGGGGTGAGGACTCCAAGAGCTTCAACCCCGATCGATTCCTCGGCGAAGACGCAAAGGACATGCATCGCTTTGCCTGGAGACCTTTTGAGCGTGGCCCGCGTGCGTGTATTGCACAGGACCTGGCGATGGACGAGTTGCGCATTATGCTTCTTTTGACTGTCCGTTGGTTCGACTTTGAAACTTTGGTGAACGGCACTTCCGAAAGAGTTATGTACATGGATCTGGACAAGAAGGTTGGTGACTTAGCCTTCCAGATGGTCGGCATGGAGGCCAGGCCAAGGCATGACATGAAGATGAAGGTCAAGTTGAGGAAGTAGGGGGCCAGCAACAGCTACGAGAACAGTCAAATCGGAAGGGGTAAAAACCAATCCAACAAGTGGATGGGCCAATCGGTGGCCCACTGACCCTCGCGTTGATGCGCGCGATGATGTGGCTATGAAGGCGATGCTTAATGGGATAACACTAAAACTGATTTATACGGGTTTACTGAACGCTTATTACGGGCCCCCAGTGGTTTTTGAAACACTTCGTTACGAGGCTTGTCTTGGCAACGTACTTAAGACGCCGCTGCTCGCTTCAGCTAACATATTGAGAATGTGATTTTTATTGGCATCGCGCCTGGTCTTTAGGTATAAGCAACTCTCGCAGCAGGATCACGGTCTTTTTGCCCGCAACCTTCGGCTATTAACATCCACTTGACAGCTTTCAAGGCGTGTGTGGCCTGAAGCCTACACGAGGGTAGGCTTGATTCGCCTGGAATCTGTGCGCGACAAACGGTTTAAAGAACCATGCGTCAAGTGACGGCGGTAATCCTCCTCAACGAACTCGTGTAATTTTCATGTACGTGTGCCTTGAAAGGCGCTGCTTGGGTCTATATACTGCTAGAAGCTGATAACTTTTGAAGCACGCTTGAGTGCTATCAATTTCATTCCATCTCATTGAAGAAACTCATGTCGTACTCGTCACCGTAGTCCTCGATAGCGCCAGCTGACATGAGAGTTTCCGCTATAGTCGCATGCCCTCCAGCTTGAGCGACTTTGAGTGCCGCACTTATGACCGCTCCGCTGATGTCTTCTTCACCTCCGTCTCTCAAAAGAAACTCCACGATAGATGCCTGGCCGAACTTTGAAGCGAATATTAGAATTCTATGCGGCGGGCCAGCCCACGTAGTATTACCAGAAGAAACTTCGGCGAAGAGATCAACTCCTGCGTCAATAAGCAGCTTGGCGGTCCCCATATGCCTGCTTTGGAAAGCTAGAGAAATTGTTGACTCTCCGCTACTTTGACCGTTTACATCTGCGCCGAGTTGGATGTACAGCTTGGCTAATCTCGGATGACCATAAATGATAGCCAATTGGAGAGCATCCCTGCCCAGAATTGTATAACCAATTCTGATGTTTGCCCCATGCTGAATTAGAAGTCTTGCCACTGCTTCATGTCCTTGCTTTGTAGCTTTGATAAGCGGTGTCTCCTCGTCGCTCCTGTTAGTGGCATGGATCTGGGATGCAACATCTATCCGGTCGTTACATTCAATGAGAGCCTGCAACCCTCTTTCGTTCCCAACGTGAGACATATGAAGAAAGGCTTCACCCAGGCTCTTGCGTGGAATGTTGGCATATGCCCCTTTCTCTTTGAGCAATTCAACCAACACGCCCGTGGAGGCCCAGAATATTGGACTTTCCTTAATTGTTGCAAAGCTGGAAGGTTTGAAATTTGCGCCATGTTCAAGTAGCATTTTAACAACCTCATCCCGACCACTCCTTGAGGCTCTTAATAAGGCCGTATGGCCTTGTCCGTCAATCTCTGATGGTGATGATCCATTGCGAAGCAAGAGCCCGACCATGTCAATACGGCCCTCTTGAGCAGCCCAAGACAAAGGCGTTCTTCCGATAAAGCCCTTAAGGTCTTTGATATGGTTGAGTCCCTCCGTGATCTCAACAACGTCTTGTGCTGTCTTTTTGACATTGATCAGGGCAGCGACTGAGGATCTATTGCCGTTCGCCAAAGCAGCAAACAGTGGGTATCGAAACCGAGTTGTCTTATCAAATACATCTGTCTCGGGGCTTTTGGTAAGCCACTGGCGAATGAGATTTGCATGCCCTCTATCTGCAAGAATGTAGAGAAGACTGGTGTGGACAGTATATCGACGTGTATGGTGTCCTTGAAAGTGATTTGAAATGGCAATCCATGGTTGAATCGGAAACTGACAGAGAAGGTCTTGTTGTGAGATCGCTTCCTCGGAAATGTCAGCATGCCCTAGAATATGCCTGCTTGCATACTCAAGAAAGGGGAACTTTGCGCTCGTCCTTTCCTTGAACTTGAAAAAGTATTCCCGACCCTTTAGTAGCTGGCTCGCAAAATCCCGTATTGGTGGATACTCAAGATAGAATTTGCAGCATTCTTTCAATCTTTCATGAGCTTGGAATTGCCAGTCATATCCCAGATCAGGCCAAAGTTCTTTTAGACCACCAGATTTGAGCAGAAAGTCTCGTACAGACTCGTGAATGAACTGTACTCTAGAATCCTTGGCCTGCGTTACTTCTGCCAATCCTTTGGAAGAACCGATGACAAATCTGTTTGCGACGTCTGAACCATTCGAGGTCGTCAAATTTGGGGGCTCATCGTCCGCTTGGCCTTTAATTATCAGGCCAGACCATAATGCGTGGCTGAATTCCGAGGTCTTTAATGGTCTCTTAGCGCACAGGATCCACAAGATGCTCAGCAGAAGGCCTTCTTTGTTGTGTGCGTCGCGACGCAACATGTCCTTAAATAAAGCATGCAGATCGCCCGGTATCTCTTTGAGACGCTTCCTTAGATCCATTCCGCCCCGAGCGTGCTGTTCATTCAGAATGTCCACCACGAGGGAAACCCAGAGGAAAACTCCTGAGGCCTTCTGTAGAATATCTGCTTGTAGTTGCGAATGGAGAGTCGTATCCCGGATCCTAAGACGGCTGCCCACGAAAGCGGCCAAGTCTTTAGTATGGCCGAGCTGGTTTTCCAGTGTTAGGTCAATACTCGTCGGCATGAAGATGTATGGATAATGTCGGCTTGAAAAGCATATTCTGAATTTGATACCATTCTCAGTTGTTTCTGTCCCAAGCTCTTCAAATAATCGGATCATGTCCATCACCTGTTGTTCGTCGCATTCGTCGAGTGCGTCGATGAAACATGTGAAAGGTTGCTGTCCGAGCGCCAGAACAGCACTGCAGAAAATCTCCTTCAGATGGTCCAATTGAAGACACTCGTTCAGATCTTGGTACTCGAAATCGAGATTGTCCACAACTTTCTGAACTTCTGGAACACCTTGGAGTAGTTGCAAAAGCAATGAGCGGTACATTCCTGGCACAGATCTTTCGATATAATCCCCTCTAGCATTGAAGAAGAAAGCTGCAGTAGTCCCATGCTTGCGACAAGCTTTGCGCATGTTTCCGTACGCAAATTTCATGATCGTCGACTTGCCGGCGCCGGGCTTGCCGCGAATCCAGAGAAAACCGTGATGTTGTAGAAGTCTCTCGGGATCTAACCATGCTTCATAGTCGGGGTGCGTCAAAAGCCATCGGCACGTCTTTGCATGAGCAGTTTTGATGGAAGACTGGCGAGAGTCCTTCTGGTCGAAATTAAGTAACTCGAGTAATTGTTGGCAACGATCGTCCGGTGGTCCCGATTCTTCGCATCGTTTTAGCGTGCCGTCCGCGAGTCTTGGATTCGTTGCTCTTACCAGTCCGAGATGGAAGTTTCAACCTTTCACGACCTTCGCTTGAGGGAAGCACCGCAAGAAGCTCGGTTGTAAACGCGGCTGCTGTAGCAGCGGCATACCTCTGCCACGACTTGTTCTTGTGTGAGTCAGAATAATCGCAGATCCCCCGAATTGGCAAGCAGGGAATAATGTCCATCAAGCCAGCAGCCTCCATTTCGAAACAGATAACATCCAGATCTTGGCCAATGATATCGCGTTGAAGAGCGCTCCTCATGACTTGATTCCCAGAAGCAATAGCGCCATAATGGATGACTGGCTCGCTTCGATGTCTTCGCGGTACCAGCTTTGTGCGATCGCATTGATTGCAGTCTATGTTCGAAGGCTCATGATCGTACGTTGGAGGAAACAGATCATCTGACAGATCGGGGCGATAATACCCAGAGTGTCCAACAAATTTCTGTGCTACAATCGACGCGATGGAGGTACCATCACGCTCCTGTTTTGCGCGCAATGCGGACACGGCGGTACAAAGGAGCTGGTGTGGAATCCTGGCGATTGCCGTGCGTTGAAGTTGTCCGTTTTCGACTATCTTCCCCATGTCGCATTGCATCACCCTTGTCCCGACAACAACATCACCGAGGCGCAAATCCGCCTTGCTGGGCACTCCGCCGCCAATACCAACCATCAAGCCAGCCCGAATTGATGGAAAGGACCGCTTGAGGTTCGATATTACGGTAGCAGCATTTACTGTTCCATAATAGCCCATCGGGAGACATGAAATGACGACGTTGTGCTTGTGGATGCGTCCGAGGGTGTATGTATTATTATCGTCAACGTGTGTGGGGAGGCTATCGTGGAGCTCATCCAGCATCGCCTCGGCAGCTGCCATCTCGATATGAAGCGCACAGATCCAGGCGACGGTATATTTCTCGTGGGGTCTGGGAGACGCAATGGGTGGTGGCTCGTGACTGGTATCGGGGGCATGGTGGAATGTCTTTTGCCGCTTGTGGTCGCGACAGAAATCCTCCGGAAGGGATCGCCTACTGGTCATGTCGGAGATCGGTCAGGAAGCACCGGTCAGTCGATCGTGAAAATAAAATAAAAAAAACAGTCGACTTAACCAAGTTCAACAAAGCTTAGTTTCGGAGGCGCGGGTGAGTGCGAGTTCGGAAGTTCGGTGCATCGTATGTTGAGAAACGCGATGCCTGCTGTTGGAGGGAAAATGAAGAAATGAGGAGGGGAGAAGTGCAGCAGGCGACGACATTTGTTCCCCGTCAGACCTATTTCCAACAAGTCGCCATGATTGGTCCAGGAAGGAACCACCTCGGCGGCAAGGCAGAAGCAGGCTGTGCTGGGGATCATTGGCTGCTAAACCTCCAACTGATCCTTGGCCATAAGCGGCAGGAAGTACTAATCGGGAAGCTATAGGGCGTTTTTCTTTTTCTTTTCTTTTCTAATCGATTTTCCCAAGGCAGACTACGGACGCGGATTAACTTTTGCGACCGATCTAGATATAGTATCCTTAACGTGAATTCAAGATCTCGTGGGCATGAACTGCGGGCTCGTGTTGCAAGCGCTCTTAGGTTCTTAACTGATGACGAATTATGGCGAATGAGCTTCAGTTGCCATAAATGCACCTCAGTGAGATTTGAATACAGCAGTCAAGTCCCATGCTCTAAGGATGATCAATTCGAAGTCAGGAGTGATCAAAATCTCGACCAACTTTTAGCACGTGTGAGGTCTTATCCCGCCTGTCTGTCAGACAATTAGACATCTCGGGCAGAGCTGCCATGATTGTTCGTTGCATTAGTATTCTGCAAACAGAAAACCAGAAAGGCAAAGGGTAACGCAATGAGGTCGCGTAAGAAACCGTGAAAGAGGTTCGTGTGACACCGAACGGCATTAGGGCATCAGGGCCTGCCACGTACAATGCTGCAGCATCCGTTTGCATCTTTGCAGTTGGACGGCTTGTAACCATTTCATGGCGCACGAGACTGTCGACGAGGTGGGAGCTGCACCGACTGCTATATTATGTATGATCTCTCAGGTGGCTCCCAAATTTTGATTGATGTGTTTCTGCGTCCAGTATTCGGGCTGTTTCAGTTTGGGCTAGACACCGCCCCTCGACCCTTTCTGCATCGAATCAGTGCCTCGGAATGGGTGATTGGGCCATGTTGCTGTTGACCTGTATCGCATCTCTCCTTTGCATGATACAGACGGCGCTTGCACTCGGGGGCTTCATCGAAACCTGCCCTGAGGTTCGTTTCTGGGACCCGGATTCTATCTGGGGAAATAAATACAAAACATCGCCATACCTGGTCGCGAGGTGCACAAGCAGTGACGGCGGTGACTATTGCACATGGCTGCCATTGACAATTTGCTATTCCAACATTGATGGCCAACTTGTGGCTCGAAGTCAGTAAGTTCAAGCCGTTTCATTCATCTGCCGCAAACGTTGGTCGCAAGGCCGTCTCTCCGCAGGCAAATATTACATAAGAAAAAGGTGTCCCAACTCAAGATCAAGCTAACGGTCTCGTGTCTCAAGTGGTGCCTTCCACAAAAGCTGCCAAAGATGCGAGTATAATGACTTGACGACGGAATTGACATGCTTGTGTCACCACGGAGAATATCCAAAGCAGTGGTCAGAGCCGACTGTAAATCTGAGTAGGTCGTTTGGTGTGACCATACTTTTGACCCGAAGACTGATTGACAAACATGGGTAGACGAAACCTTGAAGAACGACGACGGGAATCTGAGTTATCATGATATCATTGGCTTCTCAATAGGATGCAATGACGTGGAGTTCATGAAGCTTCGCGAGGTCAAGCTTATGGGACCAGATGGGCCAATTGACACATGAAGTCGATATTGTTCATTCTCTCTTTGTCACGCATAAAGTCTGGGCCAAGAATCTGGTCAAATGAAATTCTCCACGTGTTGGGCATGTGATAACTTCAATGCCTTGGTAGCTCAAAGTGCAGTCAACGAAGTAACTTCATAGATTATCAAGTATGCAGATGTTTGTAATGTCATGTAATTTTTACGAAGACATAATATATAATTTTGACAACTATTTGGCATTTGGCAGTGTGACAAGATTGGTCTTCTTGAATTTTCGGGGAGGAACCTTCCGCGTCCAGAGCTCGTCGATCTCGATGTAAGTGCGGTCTTTGGTCTCAGGAACCATGAAGAAAATGAAGACGCAGCACACGGCCAGAGTGGCACCAAAGATGAACGCCACCTTTCCACCGAGATTACCTGTTTTGTTTTAATCCGAATGTTCATCATCAAGGATAAGTAAAAGGTATTACCTTGATCGGGATTGATGGCATAGGGAAGACTTAATGTCCAGATTGAGCTTGACAACCCATTGGCAGTGATTGCAAGGGCTTGAGTTGGAGCTCTCAGTCGGCTGGTTGCTGCCTCGGTAGCAATGGGCCATGCGACAGCGCCGAGTGTCCCTTGATAGGCTTGACTTTGGTCAGTGAACTGTGATTGTGTGCTCGCCGACTCCATAAAACGTGAATCACTCACAGAAAGACCAAATGGCCATGAACACAACTTGCGCCCATACCGCCCCTTGCGTCTTGACCAGCGAGGACGCACCGATAAGAAAAAGCGTTATCGTGAGGATGATGGATCCATAGAGAGCTGTCCCTCGGCGACCGAAATAGTCCACAAAGAACCATCCAACAATGTTACCAATTGCCATCAGCCCGGCTAAGCCAACCGTAGTGTCGAAGGATGCAGCTGGTGCCATACCAGCTAACTGGAAGTAGTCTGTACACAGAAACAACTTAGAAGAGAATCCCCAAGAGGGGCATCCACAACTCACAGCTCATGTAACCCACGACCCATCCAGGGCCGCTGGCATTTTGAATGAAGAACATGCCAATTGCGACCAGAGTCCTTTTTCGGGCAGTCTTTGAAAAGCATTCCAAATACGACCCCTGCGAGTCATTGTCTTGATTCTGTCGAGCGAGCGACTCGTGAATCTCGGCCATATGCCCATCATAATCGTACGTAGAATCGTGGAGTCTTTCCAAATTCTTTCTCGCCTTTTCAGCTCGGCCGTGCGCAACTAGCCAGTAAGGAGACTCCGGGAAGAATGGAAGGAACACAAGAGCTACTGCAGCGAAACCCCATTGTGTTGCAAATAGCACTTTGTATGCTCGTGCATTACCATAATGACTTGCTTCCCGCATGACACCGTAGCCAATGAGTTGACCAAGAACGATGGAGAAGTTCATGCCCGCAGCAACTGATCCACGAATGGTGAGGGGTGCCATTTCAGAGGCATATGGTGGAGCTGCTGTCGTGAAAACTCCCAAAGGCTACACAAAGAGTAAAGTCAGCTTTCTGAAGTCGAGCGACGACGAGAATACACATACGAGACCAGTCAAGATCTTTCCTCCTACAAATTCGGCAAGGTTCTTGCTGAAGAACTGTAGAAAGGTACCGGCGATTGAGAGAACAAATGCTGCGAGAACAACAGGTTGGCGGCCGAAGCGATTGATAGCAAAACCAGCCACAAATGCACCAAGTGTCATAGCTTAATAACACTTATGGTAAGTTTGAGATCGGCAAAATCTAGAAGGGCACTGTGACTCACCAAAGATAGTGGCTGCTTGGAAGCCAAGTTGCCAGGTAGCGCTGACAACGTAGTCATCCCCGTATGGCGTGCCAAAGTCTTTGCGGAACTCGGTGATCGACACCACGATGCCGCCTGCTAGACCGTCGAAGCCCCATGTGATGCAAAGGAAGAACATGTAAAGACCTGCTCATTCAGTACAAAAACGTTGCTTAAAGGGCGCTTCCACGCAGGAACTTACACCACACGAGTGGCCATATGTTCTCTTTGATGGATTCCATCCTGGTCAGCGTATGTTGCCGATGCTCGAAGCGAGCCGCCAATGACGAAGTTGCGAGAACGGCCGGCTCATTTTCGGCCCCATCTTCGACATGGGTCGCGGTGGTCTCCTTCTCCTCTGACATCTTTTGAAGTGACGTGTAATTGAGGTGGGAAACTGTCTTGGCACAGTAATGGACGCTGAAAGTGCTTGATGTTAAAACTGAGCTGTCCAACCACAACAGCTGGATGCCAGCATAAATCCTGACATGAAGTTTGTCTTACACAAAGCGGCCGGAGCCCTACTTTTCAGCTACACTGGTATAGTTATTTCTCGATCAGCTTCCTGCCGAAGTAAACCCGTC